CCCATGTTGATCTCTCCTTAACCACTGGCACTTAGCTGGCTCCTTCGGCACACTCCCTCGCTCTCCTAACCTACGTGCCCTGTGTGATGGCTTCACTGTTGTTTCCACAACCAGGGTCAGCCACAGCTGCTTCTGTGAAAGCAGCCTGCCCCCCCAAGCTCCCGACAGCCTCGGCAGCCTCCTGAGCTGACCCTCTCCTCCTAGCCAGCCACTCCCTGAAAACCAAACTCCTCCCTCCTCCCCAGTGGATGGACCCATCCCCTCCCCTCCCTGCTGCAGAGGCCCCATTTCTGCCTTTCTGGTGATTTGTACACCGAAGACCCTCTTGTCACAGAATGCCCCCTGAGGCCCTGCCACGTCATCAGTAATATCATACATTCATTGAGCACCTGCCACATTGAGGACGTTTTCTGTACCTGGTGGTCATGAGTGAATCACCAAGCCCACGGTCCTTGTTAGTCATGTATTTATTTACTTATTTTGAGAGAGACAGAGCGAGTGTGAGCAGGAGAGGAGCAGAGAGCAAGGAGATGGTGTCCCAAGCAGGCTCTGCAATGTCAGCACGGAGCCCAACATGGGGCTCAAACCCTTGAACCATGAGATCATGACCTGAGCCAAAACCAAGAGTTGGACACTGAACCAACTGAACGACCCTGGCGCCCTGATCCTTCTTATTTAAAAGGACGTGGCCCACAAGGCCATGTCTCCAGTGAGAAAAGGTCCTAGGAATGAGCTCAACTCAGAGCAAGCCCTCTTTCCTCTCACAGAGCCTGGCCACAGCCTGTGAAGTTCTTGGCTTTGAGCAGGAAGTGGCCCAGCTCCAGGGCTGGATGCAGGAGAAGGTCACCCTGATGGCGAGAGACATCTGTGGCCACAGTCTGTCATCGGTGCAGACCTTACAGCAACAGCACAGGTGCCTGGAGGTGAGGGCCCGTGCCCGTTGTCTGCCCCTCAGAGCCCTTCCCTGCAGGTGGTGGGTAGGGAGCCCCCAGAGGGGGGAAGAGAAGGCCCTCCCAGCCGGGAGGTGCTTGCCCAGGTGGTGGAACAGAGTGGAGTTGGCCTGTGAGAATCCGGGAAGCGGATCAGGACTCCTCAGAGAGGACCAAATGAAGAGCATCCATCGGGCTGCCAGGGTGAGGCCTGATCATGTGTTCTGGTGGCAGAGGGAGCTGGCAGCTGTGGAGAAGGAGGTGGCCCGGATGCGGATGGAGGCCTGCAGACTGGGCCAGCTACACCCTGTGTTTCGGGTGGGCCTGTCTGAGCAGCTGGCCAAGATGGAAGATGCCTGGGCCACCCTGGACGTGAAGGCCCAAGAGCAGGGGCAGCAGCTGGAGCAGGCCGCCCGGGGCCATGCCTTCCTCGGCCGCTGTAGGGAACTGCTGTAAGTGGCACCCTGCCCTGCTGTTGGTTCAGCTCTGCCCTGCAGGGTGGGGGTCACCCCAGCTCTTCAGGGAGCTGGACTCCCCTGTCCCGTGCCCAGCTCCTGCCCTGCTTCCTGAGGCTTCCCTCCCAGCCCTGACAGCAGCTTTGTCTCCCTGCCCCCAGAGCATGGGCTCAGGAGAAGCAGGTTCTGGCTTCATCACAGGAGCTGGCTGGGGACCTGGTGGGGGCCGAGCAGCATTTGGTGCAGCAGGAAGAGCTGGGGCAAGAAATCAAGGAATATTGCCTTCGGGCCCAGGACGTACGGCAGGAAGGACAGCAGCTGGTGGACAGTGGCCACTTCATGTCCCCCGAGGTATGAGCACAAAGGTGGGCCAGGGGTTGAGCTGGGGAGGGAGCCCAACAACCCAAGGAACCCCTAGCAGGAATGGAAACCCTCAGGAGGAGAAGGCAGGCAAGGGAGGCAGAGAGGGGGAGGGTCTGGGCCTTTCCTGGACCTGTCTGCTGGGCACCAGCCCCGCCGTGCCTCGGGGCTTCTGCTCCAGCGTCTGGCCCACAGCGCCACTTCCCACCAGGTGACAGGGTATCTGCGGGAGCTGGAAGGGCAGCTGCAGGCACTGGCGGAGGCCTGCGCCCTACGCCAGGAGCGCTGCGAGGAGAACTGGGGCCTGCAGAAGCTGCGGCAAGAGCTGGACCAGGCCGAGGCCTGGCTGGCCTCCCGAGAGGGCCTGCTGCTGGACCCCAACTGCGGGGTGAGCCAAGGCCCCACCGTTGACAGGCTGCACGATGGCAGCTGTGGCCAAGGGCAGGTCCTAGTCCTCCTCTGCTCCCTGAACAGCCACGCCAGGCTGTGGACGGGGAGGGTGCGGCTCTTGGTGCCCCTTGGAGCCGGGCCTCACCCTGACCTACTTCTCCCCAGCACTCGGTGGCCGATGTGGAGTTGCTGCTCCATGGACACCATGACTTAGAAAAGTCACTGGCAGCCCAGCAAGAGAAGTTTGCCCAACTGCAGAGGGAGACAGGGGTGAGTGGAGGCTGGGATGAGCGTACACTGGGATCTAGGGACCTGAGGACTGGGGGTGGGAGCATCCTGGTCTCAGCCTGAGAGTCGGGACCTCCCCAATGAACGGACCCCGTATATCTGACCCCCCAGGAGAACCTGTTCTTTGCCCAGCCAGCTGCAGGGCCCTGTCACCTCCATGTCCTGGTAGGTTAGAGCCCCACCATGGACCAGGATGACAGGGAAGTCTCCTGAGCTGACGCAGGAAGAGAAGCCCAATGAGGAGATAGGGACTCTCCAGGTGGGAGGGATCCGGGGTGGCAGAGGCTGATCTGGCTCACCTTACTCCCCTTTCCAAGGTGGAACAGAAGTTGCTGCAGCAGGGGACAGGGCTGAAACCCAGGAGTGCTGGCCACCAGTTTACCTCCCTCCAGCATAGGCCTCTCGGAAGCTGGGGGCCAGTACAGCTGGCTGAGACCAGGGACCTACAGCCAGGTGTCCCCATTGGGTCACACACACCCTTGGCCACCACTCTCTTCCTGGAACGTGCAGCCAGGCAGCAGGAGCCCAGTGGGGCTGGGGCTGTAGGGGTAAGGCCCACACCCCACAGCCAGCGCTGAGGCCCTGGGGGCTGGGGACACAGGGCAGAGGAACCGAGATTCCCCAGGAATGAAGTGGTCAAAAAGGGGTAGATTCCTAGCCCACCTTCCAGAGGGGTCCTGTCCTCTGTTGCTGGATGTTTCCTGGGCCCCTTCTTGCACTTTCAGGATGCAAAGGGTGCCCCCACCATGGAAGGGTTTTTGGAGCTCAAGCAGCAATGGCCTGCAGAGAGGCAGGTCAGTACCAGGAGATTCCTTCTCCAGGCAGCTCTCCTCCACAGAACCACTTGGGCTTCGAGGGGCCATCAAGGCCTGGCACCCTGGCCCCACACCCCTGAGTCTTAAGACCGTTTCATTCTTTTTCCTTTATATATTTTATTGAGCAATTTGTACACCCAATGTGGGGCTTGAACTCAAAACCCCAAGATCAAGAGTCACATGCTGTACCCACTGAGCCAGCCAGATGCCCCACAATAGTTTCATTCTTAAGACACCTCATAGCTTCGGCACCCCCCCCCCCGCCCCGGGTGGGGAGCAAGTCCCTCTTCCTCCTCTTCCTGGTTTCCCTACATGTCATTCCCTGGCTCCCTCTTTCCCATGGACACCTTGGACCAGTCCAGGACTTTGCTTGGGAACCTCTGGAGATAGACGGTCAGGCTTTGCTAAGGCCAGGCTGCAGCCTCTCCTCCACGCTCGGCTGATGTCACCTCACCCCCTTCTCTCCACAGCCCAGCTCAAGCCCCTGGGATTGCTGCTGTGGGACCCTGGGGGGCACTTCCCTGAGCCTCTTCTGGGATAAGAAGACTGCAGCAGAAGTACTGGGCACCGGAATACAGGCGAGGCAGAACACAGAGAGGCCCATGGAGAAGAGTGGACATGGCCATTGTGACCCCTCTTGCCTCTCTTCTCAGAACGTGGCCCCCGTGGACACCCTTGATCTCACAGGAGCCCAGTGTGAGAGGCTGAGGTACCGGAGTGGCAGGAAATATGCTTTCTCCATAAGGTGAGGGCCACATGGAGAGACAGACAATGGCCCCAAGACATCCTGACCCAGCAGGCACAGCCTCACAAGAGCAGCCAAGAGGCTCGAGGTAGGGGGTCCCCCCCAAGGGAGGCAGAGTTTTGAGCCATGGCTCTCTGCCCAGCAGGCTGAGCAGTGGGGTGGAGATCCCGTATGCAGCACCATCAGAACAGCATGCCTGGAGCTGGCATCGAGCCCTGAGTGGCACGGCAAGTAGGCACCAGGGCAAGCCTGGGGTGGGACTTGGGGCACGGATTCCCTGGACCCCAGGCTGTGGTTTCCTACATCCTCTCAGGCTATAGAGGTACCATCCTCTCTACAGCCAGAGAGGTAAGTGGGACTTTGAGAAAAGATACTAGGAATTTAAGGCCCAGAAAGGGTAAACAACTTGCCCAAGATCACACAGCTAATTTGTAGTAGAAGTAGGGCCATGTTTGACCTGTTGGCTGCCTCCTGGTCCTTTCCCACCCACTTTGTGGAGTGTGCCTCTCTGACACCCAAGTGTTCCTAGGCTTGTTGTGCGACCCTGGGACCTTCTCGAACCTTTCAGTCCTCAAATAGCTCTGAATGTTCTGCCCTTGGGGTATCTACGAACAACGGCCAAGCCCACTTCTATCACAAGGGATGCCTGGAAAGCACCCCTGCACTGGGAATCTCTTGGTCCATGTGGTTTGACAGGCTCCACCTGGACAGTGTATTCCGGTCATGTCACTGCCCAGGTGGGAGTCCCTTCCTGTTCTTCCCAGTCTCTCTGGGTTCTTGGCTCCATTCCTCAGTCTCTGGCCCCCTGGGATCTCTCTGAGCCTGTCCTTCCAGAATCCCAAAGGGATCTTGGATCTCCTCCAGGCTGAGCCTTTCTTAACCCACCTGTGCTCAGCCTTCTAGGAGATGGGGTGCACTGGGGGGCCTGCACCACCCCTCCTGGTGTGTACAGAGCCTCCTGCAGCAGTTGTAGCTTAGTCTGTGGGCTGCTTTTCACAAAAATACCAGACTGAGCAGGTTACAGACAAGAACCGTTTATTTCTCACAGTTCTGGAAGCTGGGAAGTCCAACAGCAAGGCACCAGCCGACTGCATGTCTGGTAAGAGTCGTCTTGTGGGTGTCCTAGTTCTTGCTGTGTCCTCACTTGGTTGAAGGGGCAAGGTTACTCTCTGGTCAGGCCTCCACCCTCATGACCTACTCACCTCCCAATACCATCACCTGGGGGTTAGGATTTCAACAGAGATGCAAACATGCAGGGAAGTGTGCTGTCTGCAGAGGGCCTAGCATCTGGGCCAGGCTCACCATTGTTCTCTCTGTGCTCTGCAGCCCACTGTCTGAGCCTGGAGCACCGAGCCAGACCTCTGGGCTTCACTGTTGAGCCCACTGCTGAGAGGGCGCCCAAGACAGCTGCCTCGCTCAGGTAGGACAGCTGGGTAGACGGGCAGATTCGAGTCCTGAGCGCCATCACTGGCACAGATGCTGCCCTCTCAAGCCCAAGAGCCAGAGACTCAGACCTGCACTGCTAGGGTGAGGGGTAACGCCCATATTTGAGACCCTCAGCAATAGAAAACCATAGCACCCGCCTCACCTGGTGTAAACCTCTGCTCACTCAGTAATGGCAACAGAGTCCAGGCCCTGAGGCTCCTCTTCCCCACAGCTTCCAAGGCTGGCCCCTGACCACCTCAGTGAGGGAGCCGCATGTGAGTGCTGACGGTCAGCTGCAGCCCATGGAGTTGCTGCAGGCTGCTGGCCTTGCCCAGGAACCTGCCCAAGGCTCCCACCGCCTTTCCTGCCCAGGCCAAGCCCAAGGTACAGGCCCCTCAGGGGTCCCTTTCCACATGCTAGAAAGCCTGCCTGGCTCTGTCCTCCAGGGCTCCCACCTCTCTCACCCCTTGGTCTCCTCTTCCTAAGACAGAAGCCATGTTGCAGGACAGCCGTACCCTGCTCTCTGCCTGCCCTTCCCTGCTCGAATGCGAAAGGAAAGCCTTACTGTCCTAGAGTGGGCAGAGACAGACCCCACCCTGTTGGGCTTGAGGGGCACTCACAGCACAGCGGAGGGCAGCCGCGGGTATGGTCTCTGGCAGTTCTGCAAGCCCGTCCCGCAGGGCCCTCGGGCTCCACTTTAGGCTTCAGAGCACATGTTGCTGAAGGAATAGGCTTCATCCTGGATGGTGGCTTCTAAGGCTACCAGGGCAATCATTTCTTCTCCTGTGACTCTAGCCCCATGCTCAGGACAGGGCCCAAGAATCACTGGGTGAGAGCAGACACAGGGAACTCGGCCACAAGACCCAGTCCTCTCCCATATGCCCCATACCCCACTGTCACTCCTGCAGCTGCCTGTCAGCTTCCAGGATCCATGTCAACATTAGTTCCAAGGGAGGCCAGAGCCCTTGCATACCAGTGCTCGACAAAGATTCTGGGGAGGCTAGGCCCTAATTTCACTCTGCTTCTTTGTTCTCCCAACAGGTCTGGGCCCTGAAGCAAACCCTGAGATGGCACCAAACCTCGAGGCTACAAACAAGGACAGCCTCTAGGGGAACAGAATGAGACGCTGCTGCCAGGCCCCTCAGGACCAAATTCTGGAATAGACGGTTCCTTGTTAAGAGGCAGCCTTCACCAAGGTCACAACTTGCTGAGGTTATGCCATTAGGACTTGCCTCTGGCTCCTCAGATCCTGGGGGTGGCCATCCCCACCGTGGGACAGGGGTGCTGTGTCACTGCCAGGGAGTCTGCTCACCTGTGCACGGCCAGGGCTCCAGTAGCAGAGACTCCCTCCACCACCCCCCCACCCCTGCCCAGGCCAAACTGGCCGCCTCCCTGCTTGGAGAGCGTGGCTCCAGCAGGGCAGACATGGCCTTCTCTTCAGGGGAGGTTTGGACTGACCTGCTGTCTAGCTCGGTGAGGTAGCCCTGGGGAGATGTTCAAACCAGTCCTTGCTATGTGCAACCAGGAGCATGGCATGACCTGTCTCTTCTTGGCAGCAACGACAGATAACCCATTAACATCTCACATTATATGATCCTCTGTGATACATAAACCGCTCTATTTCACTCTGTACAACTATTCAAAGTAGCAAGGGAAAGGGTCACATAGCTTTGAACACTTTTGCAAATATGGTCAGTAATGGCCCCCAGGTCTACCTCTGGCCACCTCTGAATGTTCTCCTTGAAGAGGAAACCACCTCCAGCCTGAGGAGACAGGGCTCTCAGCCCTTTTAAAACCCTCAACCTACCTGCAAGTATGTGGAGAGGGTGCTGGTGGCTGCAGGGCCCTATCTGGGTAGGGCCAGGCACATATCTTGGCAAAGCCCCTCAGAGCGCGAGGGGGCCAGGGCCATCCAGGCTGCGGAGGCTCTGGAACTGTTGGTGATGACGGTCTCTGCCCGACTCACCCAGGTGGACAGGGAGTGAGTCTGACAAAGTGTCGGGAGGGGAGCAGGGAGTCCCGGCCGGGCAGCGCCATCACTACGGCCGGTGCTGCCGGCGCTTCCGTTGCACAGCTCCACGCAGGGCCTCCAGCAGCTGCTCCTGGTTGTTGCAGATGTTGTAATGTGTCAGGTGGAGCAGCTTGTCCATGTCCTCTGGGCTGTAGGTCAATTTCGAGTAGTGGTAGGGAGAGTTGGATGAAGACAGGTTCACCTCTCCGGCCCCCTTCTCCTCAGGTGTCCGTTGGATGCCTAGTGGAGACAGGGTAGCAGGCCAGGGACAGGACATGCACAGGGGAGGTGGGGGTGGGGGGGTGCACTGTGGAGAGACAGGATGGAGGGGCTCACCAGGGGCCGAGTACTCCCGGAAGGAGGCATCCACCAGAGGGAAGTGCAGCACCACTGGGGCATCAGGGCGGTCTGGATCAGAAAACAAGCAGCACTCCGGAGGCTGGCGCTGCTCCTCTGGGCTGGGGGAGATGGGCGGGAAAGGGATGCCCTGCTCCTGACAGAGCCGGCCCAGGAGCTGCAGTTGCTGCAGGGCAGCAGAAGTGGTGTCAGATGGCTGGGCCCGAACACTGGGCCAGTGGGGGTCAGCTGGGATGCGTGGGACCTGGACACCAACTCAGACCCCCTGGCACTGGGCAGGACTGAGGAAGGGGCTCCAACCCCTCAGCTGCGCGGGGCTAACTGCTCCCAGGTTCTGCAAAAACCTTCACCGGACCAACACCAAAACTCAGAGCAGAGGGATCCAGAGGTCTAGACTGAATGGAGGTGGCAGGTGCCACAAAGGGGCATCACCAGCTCCTTCTCCATCTGGCTTCCTGAGCAGAATAAGTCCCCCTGGTGGTAAATTCACAGGATCCACAGTTCATAGGACACTTCACAGAGTGTCACAGCCCCTCAGAGAAGCTGGACCACATACTAGACTCCAAGGCAGACATCCCCAGAGGCAGGAGCCAGGATGTCAGGCCAGGCCTAAGGCAGCACGGTCTCCCACGTCTGCCCCCGGCTCACCTGAAAGGCTCCTTGGAGGTTGTAATCCAGTGACAGGATGAGGTCCACATCCCGTGTGGGCCGCAGAAGGGGTGGGAAACTGGTGTTGATAAGGTAGCCAACATCCAGCAGGCAAAGATGGGGCTCTGCAGGTGTCAGCTGGTTGGGGTGCCCATCCAGTTTGGTGGCTGGAAAAGTTGAGGGAATGGGGTAGAAAAGCAGCTATCATTGGTGCTGAGGCCACCAGATCCCTCTGGCCTAATGCTAGTTCCTTGCTACTGGCAGAATCCGACTCTGCCCTCTGGTCCCTCTTCTCTCCCACCAAAAGTAGGCCTGTCACTTCCCAAGATGCCACAGATGGGCCCTGATCCACAAATGAGAGGAAAAAGGGTAGCTGATCCAAGCAGCCCAGTGAACTAAGCTCAAAGGAGCTTGGGGCCCAAGGGTTGGAGAGTGTGGATGTCTGGACCAGGGACCCAAAGCTCAGGTGGTCATGGGCAGCCCATAGAAAGCTGGGACCAGAGAGAGAAGAGATACCTTTCCAGGTGGAGAAGTAAGGCTGTTGGAAATAGTCTTTGTGGAACTGAAGACCACGCAGGAAATTATGTGTGGCCTGGGCCAGTGGGCGCCGTGTCAGAAGGTCAGTAAAAAACTCAACAATCTTGCCGGTCCCCGTGGGAGGCTCTTCTATCTTCAGGAGAGGAACCTGCTCCTTGTCTGCTCAATTAAGAAGGGGGAAAGTAGGGCATCTTTTAGGAAATTGGGACCCCTAAACTTTTACCCCAGCTTCTGTAGACTCCCAAAGGCCTGAGAGCCACCCCCACCATCCTCCAGATCCAGCCCCTGTGGGGGCCTCTCCACTTGCTCACAAGGAGCCCAGGCACCCACCCAAATTGGCCTGATCCTGTGCCCAGCGGTCCCAGAACTGGCTGGGCTCTGAGGCCCAGTATAAGCTGTCCTGGAGGCTGGCTGCATACAGATTGCTCCAGATACCTGAGAAAGGGGACACAAGAGGAACAGAAAGGACATGAGGGGGAGAGAGCCCCCACCCAATCACAATCTGACTCTTGCCCACGGCCCATCCTAGACTGGGAAGCATCTCCATGACTAAGCTGAGGGTGGGTTTGGGCGGGGGGGGGGGGGGCTGCCATCTTCGCCAGGCCCGTTCTCCCCTCTATCTCCGCTTCCCTAACCTCCCAGGCCTCTCACCTTTCAGGAAGCAGATTCGGGACTCAGGAAGCCGCTTGGTCAGGCACCCCATGAAGAACTCAGAGCCAAAGAGCTCGGAGGGGATGAAGGCACCGTACTTGGGAAAGCCAACTTCATAGGGGGAGAACTCACACCACTCTGCGAGGAGACCACACAGCTTCACTGCGGGGCTCAGAACTCCAGGACCCTCAACCACCACAGGCTTCACACCAGGGAAGCCTGGGGACCTAGAGGCTCAGGCTGGTTACAGGCACCCTGAGCATGGACCTAAAGGCCCACCCCCAACCCAAAGCCTGAGTGACTCTGGTGGGATGATTAATAATCTCTGGAAGGCATGGGACCTGGCCCAGAAGGGGAGGGTGTAACACCCATCTCCTACACACAGGCACCCTGCCAGCTGCGAGATCACACGTCTCCACTCGGGGCTACTCACCAGCAAATTCAAAGGTGGTCAGGTTCTTCTCCTTGGTGTTAAGGGCACAGTAAATGGGCAGAGGGTTCTGGCCTTGACTCAGGGCCTCTCTCTGGTCTGAGAGAGTATGGTCATGGGGCTGGTAGAAGGAGAGGATTTGAACCTAAAGTTGTGCTTTCTGGTGCCTGGGGCCTTTCCCATCTCTGCTGCCCAGGGTGGTTCCCCATCTTCGAACCATGCCCTGGCCACACACCCGCCCCCTCTGTACCTCATCGTGCAGCAGGGCCTCACTAATGAGGGCCCACAGGTTGGTGAAGCAGGGCGGGTGGCCCAGGCGGGCACGCTCGGCCAGTTCCTGCCGGTACTGCTGCAGCTGGCTGGGAGCAAGCACGCCCAACTTGCTCTTGGTCACCTGTGTTTTCAGTGACTCGGTGGGCCCTGCCAGGTCCTTCTGAGACCATTCTGGGTCCTCGTAGAGGTTGGCCAAAGCCCTGGGAAAGCCAAAGCCCAGGAGGTCATCACATACCTCGGACTCTCTATCCTAGAACAACAGACTAGCAGGTACCTTCCAATGGTCCCCCCAAGCACGTTCCTCTCTGGCACATCCTTTCTCCCAGTTAGGTCGGCGGTGCCTATGGGGTCCACGACAGCCTTACGACTGCCACCCCCAAACTCCTGCACTCAACGTGCTGCCAGCTCACCAGGTAGAGCCAGAGGCCCCTGTGATGTAGGAGATGCAATCCAAGAGACCCAGCTCCTTCAGGCCAGCCAGATGCCCATACAGGGAAACCATCGCCCGGATCCCACCACCAGTGGCCATAACAGCTACCACGGGGATCTGGAAGAGAGGATAGCCAGGTCAGTCAAGGTCTGATCAGGGCTGTAGTCTCCCAAACATCCACCCCTTTCCGTCTTATTAGGAGAAGTCATTTCCCTAGAAGGTGCCCCAAGCTGATCTGACCCCAGCAGGCTGCCCTCAGGCTACATGGCTCACTGATGAGTCAGATGGGACTCAAGTCCCAAAACCTGGACCAGACCAAAAATCAAGAAACAATGAGAAAGGGGGTGCCTGGCTGGCTCAGTCAGTTGAGAGTCTGACTTTTGGTTTCAGCTCAAGTCACGATTTCACGTTTCATGGGTTCAAGCCCCTTGTTGGGCTCTGTGAGGACAACACAGAGCCTGCTGGGGATTCTTGCTCTCTGCCCCTCCCCCACTCACACTGTCTCCATTTCAAAATGGATGAATAAACTTAAAAAAAAAAAGCGAGAAGGAAACCTAGCCCAATGGGGCAGCTTATAAGCTCCAAGTGCCTCATGCAATGCTCTGCATTTGATGGCATCAGGCTGCCAAGAACATCAAGTGAGAGGGAGGCACAGCAGGGCAGGTAAGTAAGAGGCAGGGCCAAGCTCCGGTCTGGTTAGGAAACAGTCAGCTCTGGGCTCGAGGAAGACTGAGGATGCCCATCCAAGGCAGCCCAGCCCACAGACCTCATCTTCCTGTAAGTCTTCATCTAGTTGCAGGACCTGCTTCAGGGCCTTGGCCACCACCTGCTTCCTCTTGCTCAGAAAGGCCTGCTCCTCGGCACAGGGCCCGCAGCCTAGCCGCACAGCCAGCTCCCTGGGTCTGGGTGGGAAGGAAGGAACCATCAGGCAGCTCCCGGCCTCATTACAGAAAAGGAAGCCGGGTCTGCCTCACCTGAGAAGCCCACTTCTCAATCTCTCTCTCCTCTCCCCAAACCACACTCCTGCCCATGTCTGGACAGAAGCGTGACATGTGTGGGTATGATGGAGAGAAGGTGCACCTAGACCCAGATGGGGACACTTGGGGAATGCAAGAAAATGGATTCCCACAACTATAAATGCTGGTGCCTAAAAAGGCCCCCGGGTGGGACCCACCACCACAGATCTACTTCCACCTCTCAGCTTCTCTCCATTACCCACCCAAAAATGACTCCAGCGGAGACAAGAAACAGTGTTCCCACCTCTTCGTGGCTAGTCTTCCAGGCATGTGAAGAAGGGCCAGGGTGGGTGACTTCTCTTGTCTCATGAAGATTATTAGCTACAGTCCACCCACAATCGCCACCACCCAAAGGGAGCATGATTTCTCTCTTGTGGCTTCCTGGCCCTCTCTGTGCCTCAAGTTCAAGTGCAGGTGCCTGCCTGCTCTCCCCCACGCCCTCTCCCCGGGACTAGCCAGCTCTCACCCGTCTTCTTTTCTCAGCTCCACCCTCATCAGGGGTTCCTAAAAACCATGAACACTTCAGTCACAAAAGTTGGCCACCATGTTCCTCTCATCCCGGCCTGAGCCACACCCTATGATGCTCCCACGCTCCCTCCGGCCTCTGGCCATCTCCACAGGGACAAGGTCTGAGGCTTCAAGGCAGCTCTGCTCAGAGGACCCCTTTCTCCTCAGAACCTGGCTCAGCACTTGTGCAGGGCATGACCCTAAGACTGAAGCTCCTACCACCGCAGGCCCCCTATAAGGCACGGGGCCCAGCCCTGCCTATGCTTCTGGCATTCTTCCTCCGGGTGATCAAGTACCTGGGACGTAGGGAAGACAAGCCTCACCACCTGCCCAGAGGGCAAGGCCCTCAGGGGCACCTTCAGGTGCTCTTGGGGGGTATCCTGTAGGAAGGATGAAAGAAAACCTAAGAATCACTTCTGTTCCAGCAGCGATCTCACCCATTGCCCCAGGGAGTGACAAGCAGCAGCAGGAAGAGGGACAAGAGGCCAACCTCGACCCCATACTCTTCCCAGTGTGCCTGATTCTGCCAGGGAGTGAGGGGGTGAGGGGCTCAGCATGAGCAGAAGGACCGGCTAGAAGAAAGAGGGAGAAAGACTCTGCAGGCCCCACCTCAGCAGCACACTACCTGCAGATGAATATCCAGCTCCTGCTCCCAGCAGGCCGGGCAATGGAAGCAGAAGGAGCCAGCACCCACAGCGGCCTCCTGCGGACCCTCACAGGACCCAGGAACCATGAGCTGAACTCTTCCCCCGGACTCTGGAAATAGGAACCAGAGCAGAGGGGCTGGGAATAAGATCCTCGCCCACAAAGGCCCAAGAATGTCTTGCATAAGGGGCCTGAAGGGTACTTCCCCCCCACCCCGAGGAGGAGGACTGGCACAGGCCAAGGGTCAGAGATGGAGCCCCCATCACAGCCTCTCCAAGGACTAAGGGGACACAGGTCCTGGGGAGCCCCAGCATGGATTTGCCCCTAATCTCTACCACTGCCTATGAAAGCCTAGGGCAGCTAATGTAAAGTCCCTTCTAAGATCCCCATAGAAAGAGGAAGACAAGGGGCACCAGGGTGGCTCAGTTGGTTAAGCATCCGACTCTGGCTCCAGTCATGATCTCACAGTTCATGAGTTCAAGCCCCAAGTCAGACTCTGTGAGAACAGCTCTGAGCCTGGAGCCTGCTTCAGATTCTGTTTCCGTCTCCCTCTGCCCCTCCCCCACTGGCACACTGACTCTTTCTCAAATATAAATAAACATTAAAAAATTAAAAAGAGGGGCGCCTGGGTGGCACAGTCGGTTAAGCGTCCGACTTCAGCCAGGTCACGATCTCGCGGTCCGGGAGTTCGAGCCCCGCGTCGGGCTCTGGGCTGATGGCTCAGAGCCTGGAGCCTGTTTCCGATTCTGTGTCTCCCTCTCTCTCTGCCCCTCCCCTGTTCATGCTCTGTCTCTCTCTGTCCCAAAAATAAATAAACGTTGAAAAAAAAAATTAAAAAGAAAAAAAAGAAAGAGGAAGACAAGGGCAGAGGGCTGGGGGTTATCTTGGTAGGTGGGAGACTTACCCTTCCGGTCCCCTGCCTCCTCCAGTCGAACATGCAAGCAAGAGAGCTCCCGGGCCTGAGTCATTAAAAAAGCCCCTCAGACTTGAACCCCTGCCCTGTTAGAGGCCCCCCCCTCCCAGTACCCTAGTTTTGGTCCTCAGCACTTCATTACCTTGGCCCTGAGTCACCAACCATTTGCCTGAGGTTGTATCCTCTTAAGGAACCAAAATCCCAGGGACCCCCCCCAACTCAGTTCTACCCATGAATCTCCAAGGGAGGCCCAAGCTTCAGGGAGGGGGATAGCAGATGGCATGAGGGAGGAGCTTCGACTTACCACCAGAATGCCATTGGTGACAAGCTGCTCAGCACAGTCTGTCCTGAAAAGGACACCAGTGACCCTCAGTGCAAGTCCAGGCTCCCAGGTTCTCACCCCTCAAAGGGCCACGGCATTCCTCTACCACCAATGGATGTCTCAGAGGGAAGGGTGTCAGTTCTGGGCACGCTCTGGGTGCACTGGACTCTGCCCTTCCCCAAAAGAAGCACTCCCACCCAAGAAGTGCCCAGTGGCCCCTGACTCACAGTCTCTGTAGCCGAAATTCAACTTCTAGCCGCTCCTCACCCTGGAGAGAGGAAAAAAACAAAGTTAGAGAGGTTGAGGACTGTGAGCGTAGATTTCAACACACATGCCAAGTGGGGCTGCTGGGGCCCGAGAGGTGGTGAGAGCCAATGTCCAACTCCACCCTGCTCTGTCCACTTTCTCTGGGTAGCTCCCAAAAGCTGCCCTTGGTTGAGGGGCCAAGAAAGAGGGTCAAGGATGGGATTATTCCTGTGGACAGCAACTCCTGGCTGACAGTAACCTCTGGATGCCACGGAAGCCTGGGCCACTCACTGGAAAAGAGGGCCATGTACGCAGCTCCCCTGCAAAGGATCTCCCCTCCCTGGGCTGAGGCTTTCCACTGCCCTGGGCACAGCCTTGCCTGAGCGCTCAGTGAGAAGCTCTCTCTGCGGAACTCCCCAGCTCGCAAAGTCCCCACGTCAAATAGCACCGACAACACGGGGTCATCATTGGTCAGAAGGTCCTGGTCAAAGACTTGCAGCTGCACCACATTCTGGAAGGGAACAGAGTAAGGGGCTGCAGGAAGGAGGAGTGGGATAGGAAGGTGAGTGGGGCCATGGCAGAAAGCAAGGGCTGGCAGGGACAACGGGCAGGGCAGGGGCTGACACCTGGCCCACCTTGAGCTGGCTGTGGATTCGAAAGCGAAAGCTCTGATTCCAGATGGGGTTTCTGCTGTTCTTGACCGTGCGTGTCTGCAGCCTATGGCTAGAGGCCGTGGGCAGCCAGAGACTCACATAGCAGTCAGAGGGGGTTACTGCAGGAAGAAGGGACAAGTGCCTGCTGACAGCCAAGAGCCTTACCCAGCCCAGCTTCCCAGAGTCCATGACCTTCCATTATAGGCAGCCCTGGGAGGCCTGGAGACTCTCAGAATGGGACTGAGTCGGGAGGCAGGAAGAGCAAGAAGCTGAGGCACAATCCCACATTCCACCCAGCACCTCCTCTCGGCACCCTCTCCAGGACCCCTGCACGCCCAGCCCTACTTGTATCTCTTCCCACTGCCCTGTCCCAGTCTGAATCCAGTTCCAGAACCACTGTCCTCCCTGGGCCCAGCACTCACCTAGGTCCTTCGAGGGCAGGCCACAGGCCTGCAAGACACGAATGGTGAGCAGGCAGGTCCCAGGCACCTTTGCCTGCAGAGGAGGGACAGATCAGGCTTGCTGCAGGCTGCTGGGCCCAAAGCCAACAAGGGCCAAAGAAGAGGCCAGAGTACCCCCTCCAGGACTAATTCTGAACCAAAGGGATCAGCCCTTCCCAGCCACATGGCTGCCCTCCACCCATCAGAGCTCTAAATGGAAAGGAGGCTATGGTATCTACTGATGATGCCTGCCAACACTTACACAACACTCTGGGCCGGCGCTGGCCCAAGGGCTTTATGTACATTAACTTCTTTAATCACACAACTATGCTGTGTGTAGGGACTAATTATGACCAATCCCACAAGGAAACTGAAGCACAGAAAGACAGAAAGCCTACATAGTCACTGGCCTGAGGTCCAGGGCCAAGACTGCACCAGGACGGCTCGACTCATGCTCTCTACCCCACAGCTTGCTTGCTTCTAGCTACGGTTTAGTGTCTTTTAAATCTTTCCACCCCACATTTCCAGCTACCCCTTGCTAAGCTGCCTTGAGGCAGTCTTAGTTGGCAGGAGGCCCATGATGGGGCGGGCAAGGGGGAGGGGGAAACAGCAGAATATAAGGCTACAGAGGGAGGGGAAGAGGCATGTCAGGACCCAGCCTGGCCATGGGCCCCTTGGTAGGGCTGCTCCCCTGGTTGAGCAGCTTAAACGGAGGCATGTTCTGGTTAAGCAAACCCTGTATCTGGAAAGGTAGAAGTGAGGAACACAGAGTTGGTTTTCAGCCTCTCCACCCCTGGCCAGGACTCAATTCTGGAAATGGGCTCTCTGCTTGACTATGAACAGCAGTTAGCAACTCAGACCACACACAGGTTTTCAAGTCCTCCAGGTGCTACAGGTCAGGCTAAAGAGGACCCCCAAGCAGGTCCATCCAAACCCACAATCATGAGTCTAGGGATATAAACCATGGCAAGTGTGCCAGGAAAGCCTGTGCCAACTAATCCTGGCCTTCAGCCCTGCCTCAGAAGGGTCTTGATGGATGGAGTTGAAGGGCAGAGCCGGGGAAGCTCATCTGTCAGTGTCTGCCCTGGGGCCCCCACCCTCCAAGCAACTGAGTCAAGAGCACCCGAGCAGCCACTTCCTTCTGGGACCCCAGGACAGTAGCCCAAATCCATGGCCCTGAGAACTCTGCCTGTAGCCCATCTCTAGGGCAGGAAGAACTCAGGATGACCCTTATCCCAAGACCCGGCCCGTTCCCTGGCTTCTGCTCACCACCCTGGACCAAGTCTGGCAAACTCCCCTCTCTACACCTGTGGAAACCCACAGCTCCTCTTAAGAATCAGCATTAACCAGACCCCAGAGGGAACAAAGGTCAGCCTGGGGGCCCAGGGCCCCAGCAGGTCTTACCAGAGCCATGAGACAGACAGTCCTCAAGAGCCACAAATGACAGGCAGTGGGCGCAGGACCGAAGACTGTGGGCTTTTTAACGCAGAGCCAACAATGTGCCAGTTGGCCCCAAGCTCCTCCCTGGTCCCTCCCAACCGCCTCCGCTCCACCCAAGCCTCACACTCACTCCAGGACAAGCCACCTGTCAAGGAAATGAGGAACCTTAAACCTACATGGCCCCTGTAATGGGGGCCTACCACCCATGAAGACCCATTCCCTCTAGGCGTTACCATCAGCACCTACCCCACCCAACCCTGCTCTTGTGCCTGGACCTAGAAGGGCCACTGACATCTGGAAAGCAGGGAGTGGACCCAGGGCAGCACCAAGTGGATAAGCCTTGTCCCCTGTCACAGGGTCTTTCACAACCTCCGGTGCCTGTAGGACAGGAATGCCCAGCTCTGACTGAAGCACTTGGCTAATGTGAAGCGGGTGCCCCAGGTCCATCACCGCCTGGCAGGGGCGAGGTTTGTTTCACGAAAGAGCCCTCCCAAGCCCCGTGCCTGGCTGCCTCCACCCTCGGCGCTGGGTGGCTAGGATGATGAGGCCTCTGAGTGGCTCTCCGGGAAAGGGGCTCTTCCAGGTCTGGGTTGCTGCAGGGAGGGAGGGAGTCTGAGTGTGTGGAGACCCTGAGGCGGGGATGGGCAGGGGTTTCTGTCCCCTCCTACCTATGCTTGTTGTGGAAGAAACAGGGGTGACCCTCGGCACCAGACCCCACCAGCTTCCCTGGAGGTGGAGGAGAGCAAACAAGGCCAGAGCAAAGCTAGGCACAGCTTTAGAGGCCGAGACAGGGAGGTCTGCACCACAGTTAAAATGAGACCCGCTTGCCCTGAGAGGGGCTGCAGTGGCTATCATGGGAGTTGGCAGCAGAGGTCCTCAGTCCCAAGCCTGGACCCAGGCCTCACCCCCAATCAGGGTCACCTTGAAATGTTTACCTGAACCTTCCAGCCCTCACCAGACCACAGAAGGCAACTTCAAGAGGGAGTCTCAGCACACATGAATCAAAGCCACCTTTTATTGAACACTTCTTCTGTGCCAACCCCTTATGGTCCTTAAAGATCTCTCTCCAAGCCTCACAACACCCCAAGGGGTAGGACCCATCACTGTCTCTGTTTTACAGACAGGACACCAATGCTCCAAGGTGGTAAGTCGCCCACGGTGCTGGTAAGAGGCTGCACCAGAAGTCCCACTCCTCCTCCAGTACAGGCAGCTGCCTCACCTGTGTGGTAACTTCCTGGGAGCTCACACCCAGACCTGCCTGGCACCTCCTGGACCTCCAGATCACCTCCCCAAATCCTCCAATGCAGATTCCAAGCTGAGCTGGGCCAGGAGTCAGCAGACTCTGACTCCAGTTTGCCTCTGGAAGTGACTTGGCCTGGGAGGGACACGACCTTTTCCACCACTTGTCGTTGGCAACGTTCACCAGGGTTCCATCAGTCGAGGCCTGAGGCCTTAGTGAGGGAGTCAAGCAGCTGGAAGTAACTGTACTTAAGGTCATACTCCATGTCATACCAGTAGTTCACTGTGGGGAGAATGGAGACCTCAGCATGAAGGTCCCCCTCCAAACCTACTGCCTCCCAAACCCATCCCCCAGCAGCTCTACTGGGCAGCTCCTCACCAGCAATGCAGCCATGGGACTGCTGGACGTGGTGGAACCACAGGGCCGGCAGATAGAGCATCTCACCGGCCTGTACGGTGCAGCAAAGGGCCCGGGCCTGACCGTAACCGGGGTACCGGGCCAGATCTGGAGCCAATGGGTCCAGTGGGATCCAGGGTACCTGGGGATACAATGGATGCCAGGGAACAGTCCCAAAGCCCCCAGCCCTCCAGCTCTGTCCCTTCCAAAGGTAAACACCATGAGCTCTGCCCTGTTCAGCACTGGGAAGGCCCAGACTTAGGGATTTTTCAGACTAAGGTGCCACCTCTCCAGCTCTTTTGTGCCTTCTCAGAGACACGGTTCCTACCCTTCTCCCTCCCCAGGTCCCAGGAACAAGGCAGATACCTTCTCCATGGCCTCTTCATCCACCACGTTAAAGGAGCCCTCTTCAGTGAGGTGGTAGGTTGCTGGTGTGTATAGCTCTGAAACCAGAAGGAGAAAGGTACAGGGACACTCAAGTGGCCTGCAGCTTGCCAGTTCCTCCCCTTTGTTCCCTGAGTGCAGTGGAAACACTGTGCCCACACCTCCGGCCTGGCACACCAGCCTGCCCAGGGCCCTTGTTGCCCTCCCTCTACTTTGGGCCACCTGTCCCCCAGCCCCTGAGGGCTGAGTCCCCTACCATAGGGGATGAAGGGCCGGTCACTGGGTGGATGTAGCAGGAAGTGTTTCTCTCCAGAGACCACGCAGTAGAGGTTCTCATAGTGGTCCTTATGTACTGCCAATACAAAGAAGGCCCAGTGGGCAAGGTTATGAGGGGCAGGACACAGGAGGGGACAAATGACCACAAGACAGATGTGACAGGTGGTGTAACAGAAGATCACACAAAGTCAAAGCCGGCTCGAGGGGATGCCAAGGAGTCAGGCAGAATTCCATCAGGGACTTGACATTTGCTTGACATTCATCTCTACCAAGGGGGGAATCCAAGCAAACAGTTTTCCTGAGTTCACCCCGACCTAGCTGCCCTTCAGGAGAGCTTTCTGGAGACCTAGAAGAAACAGTCTCCTCCACGCCCCACTGCCATGGGGACCCTCCCCAATCTGAGCTATCAGGAGGCGCTCTGTTACACCCAAACCCCAGAACCCCAGAATAAATCTTAGAAAACAGTCAAACTTCCATCCAGACCCAACCTTCCACTCTTGACCTCCTCTTCCCTCCTCCCCCACCTCTGTATTCCCCTGATACCTACAGGATGTCACTGCAGCCACATCCCCCAGCCAGAAGTTTACAGCATCAGGTATCTTCCCTGCAGGTCAGAGGTAAGAGATCAAGTCAAAAGGGACCATCCTCGAAGGCCAGGCTGGGAATAACCACCATACAGTGATGCTGGACCAGAACCTTAGGGGAACCAGGGAGCTCACAGGGAGAGAACAGAGAGAAGGGGCAGAGGAGGGCCAGCTCCAGAAGGAGCCTCCTGCCCTGTGGGAGAAGAAGGGTGACAATGTCCAGTAGTTCAATGCAAAGTCATGGCCTGGAGGTGCGCCTGCGTGGCTGTCAGTTAAGTATCCAATTCTTGGTTTCGGCTCAGGCCATGATCTTGGAGTTTCATGAGTTCAAGCCACGTGTGGGCCTCTGCACTGGCTGTGGATCCTGCTTGGGATTCTCACTCTCTTCCTCTCTCTCTCTGCCCCTCCCCCACTCATGCTGTCTCTCTCTCTCTCTCTCTCTCTCTCTCAAAACAAATAAATAAATTAAAAACAAAAACAAAGTTGTGGCCTGGAGACTTGAGCATTTAGTGCATAGCACCTGAACCTGAGGGGCCAAGAGTATGGGCCAAGTCATCACCAAAGGAAGAAGCAGCAAGCAGGGCTGACTCCTGCTTGTCCTTCCCATTTCTTCCCTGCCCGGCCCCTGCCTCCACTCACCCAGTGCCTCGGAGGCCCAGGGCACGTGGGACTCTAGATCAGGCAGTAGCTGGGGCAGCTCGGTGAGCAGGTTGGAGCACTGCTTCTGCACGTAGAGGACTCCTGGGTGCTGGGTCTGGCCCTCTAGCACATCCAGCACGTAGCTCAGGGGCAGGCGACGCTCAGCAGGCATCATAAAGCGATCCCCTCGTACAGCATCCGCATAACCATCAGGGGTCACAGCCACACTCACCTCTACGGAGCCCACTGTGGCTCTGGAGGAAAGGACTTTCAGCCCATGTCCAAATACCACAAAGTATCATCCAACATCCCCCCAGGGGCAGCCCCCACCTGAGATATGGGAAGGACCACTTCTGCAAAGCTGGCCAGTGCTGCAGGGCGTTGCGGATGATGCAAGGCCTATTGGGGCAGACCCAGTCCCGATAGAAGTGGAGTGGAGTGGGGGGCTCATCCAGGTAAGGCACAGCAAGAGGCACACTGAGCTCTGAGAGAAAGAAGGGGTGGGGGTAGGGTGGGGTTATGAACCCAACAGCACCCAGTTGCTGCCCCAATGCCTGTGTAGAAGATGCCCTCCCTGGGCAAGACACACTACTATACCTGGATAATGCCCACTGATGACCAAGGGACCCTGGACAACCAGGAAACTGAAAATTGAGGAGAGCATTTAAGGCAGAAAGCATGAAGCACCCACAAACACACCAGGATGGACCAGGGGATGGTGCTCAGCCCACAACCCACACCCTCCTTGGGACCATGTCCAGCCCTATATAGTGAACCCCACAGCTTTCCCACTCTGCAGTGTCCAACCTCATGGCATCCATTAGGAAAGGGAAACATGGAGGCAGTACATAGAACTCCAGAATGAGTGGTGCTGAGGCCCCAAGGCCACAGGCTGGTGTGGGTGAGTCAGGCTCTGGAAAGCACCCTCCAACAGTGATACTTACCAAGCTCTAGAATGTACTCAGTACTTGGTTTAGCCAATGCAGAGTATCAAGGGATGATCCTATTGTCATCTCAAGAAGATTACAACCTAACTGTGAAAACAAGATGCTACAGGAAACCATAGGAGGAAAAGTAAGGGCTGAACTGTGTTTCTGATCTTCCTGAACAGCATCACCATCCTCAGGAGATCCAAGGCTACCATGTACATTTATAGTTGTGCAGTGTGCCATCTGCACAGATGTCTATAGTGGCCCTGTATCACTTCTCACAAATCTATTCTTTTTGGCTCTTCCTTCTCCCTCACTTCTGTCCACCCCTATGGATTGTCTCTAAGTCCTATTGATTCTACCAACCACCCCCTCCTTCTTTCCTCTGCTGGTATCCATATTCAAATAACCTCCTTTGGGCCCTCAAATGTCACTTCAGTGAGGTTTCCTTCCCTGGCCACCCTTTTAAACTGTAACCTGTCCCCAACAATCCTACACTTCTTCCTTTTTTCCTTCTTTCATTCATCACCACCTAACATACTATATATCTCACTTACCCAAATTGTTTATTGATCTCTCTTGCTGGAATAGAATGTAAGCTCTATGAGGGTAAGGATGCAAATCTTGTTCATTGGTATACCCCCCAGGACCTAGAATAGTCCCTAACACACAGCAGGTGCTCAACAAATACTGGCTTAATGGTTGAAAGAAAGTCTCCAACATCTCCTGACTGGCTGATTGCTGCAGTGAACTAACTCGTTTCCTTGGGGTTTCATTCCACTCCCTCTCAAAGCATCCCTCACCCTGGCCCCCATCATCTTCCTAAAATACAATCTCATCTTGTCATACCCCTAGTTAAAAAAAAAAAAAAAAAAATCCTTTGATGGCTTACCACTACTCCTTACAAATTATAATGTGCCTTGGCATGCATTCAAGGTGATACATGATCAGGCCCAACCTACTTTTCCAGTCTGGTTTCCTCCTGTCTGGTGCCTGCCCCTTACCACACTCTCTACTCAGGTGGTGCCAAACTTTGTTCCTACTTCTCCCACAAACGGGAATGCCTTTCTCCTGGCATCTATAAAGGGTACACAGGGCTTTGCTTTGTTTGTTTCATCCTTGAGATCTAGCCTGAATGTCTTGGCCCCAGTGGGCAGCCACTGCACTAATTTTCACCTTTGAGGTCTCCATGCCAGTCATCTTTGCTTTGCATTCAGTTGAAAAGTAAATGTCTTCAGCTCAAAAATTAGAACTGGGTGGGAAGATCCTGGTAGGCCCAAGAAAACGGAAAAGGGAAGAGCTGGAACATGTGCTTGCTTCACTGGCCAGAGAGGTAAGATGGTACCTGCCAAGCAGATAAGGGAGCAAGGGAGAGCAAACTGGCAAAGGGCCTTCCCAGTCATGCCAGTCCATCAAAGCAGTCATCTTGGGAGGGTGATTTGGGGCTCAGTAAATCTATTATTCTCACTGGAATTCTTTTTTTTTCCCACTGGAATTCTTAAAATACGTGGAAACTGCCTTTCTTTTCACCGTTTGTATTTCCTGCTTACTAAATTCTTACTGCCTCACCAATTAAGACTTCCTGTAGATAATGACTACTGCTCCCTTCTGAGGCTTTGATGTGAGAGAATTTCAAAAGGGATTCAAACAATTCCTTTGGCCCAACAATTCTTCTGCTAGAAATTTAACCATCAAAAATATTCACACATGTGCAGAATGACTGCTCCAGGCACACTGGCATGTTCCAGGTTCACTGTTCCATGAACACACCAGGCACACTCCTACCTCAGGGCATTTGCCCCAGTGCCCTCAACCTGCAATGCTCTTCTCTCAGATGTCTGTACAGCTCACTCCCTTTCTACAAGCCTGTGCTTGAACGTGGCTTTATC